TAATAATATTTATTGTGTGGTCAGCTGAGCCCACCAGGGGGCGGGGCTTGCTGGCATGTGGTGTTGGGGGATCGAACCGCGGTCCCTGTGCTTTGCCAAGCTTGTTCCAAGTAGGTGCTCTAGACCACTGAGCCATCTCCCCAGCCCCTGGAGGGCAGATCTTAACTTCTCTAAAACACATTATTGGGGCTGGGAAGATAGCTCAATGGAATAAACAAGCACAAGGTCCTGAGTTTGATCCCTGGTACCACCAAAAAGTTAAATAAAACACACTATCAAAAAGAAAAAATGGTGGGGGCCATGTAAGTGCTTCCCTGGCAAGTGCAAGGGGCTGAGGTCTATCCCAGGTTCTGCAAAAAAAAAAAAAGTAACTAAAGTGATAGATGAATGTTTGATTTTGGTTATTTCGCAATTATGCATATATCAAAACATCCACTAGTACAGAGTGCATATACAGAACTCCTATTTGTCAATTAAGCAAGTAAATCTGAAAAACTTGGCAACTTAGGAAAACAAACATTTATTATCCCACTGAATCTGTGGGGCAGGTAGCTGGGTGGTTCTGATGGAAAGCTGCTCACTAGACTGCAGTCGGGGCTGGGACAGGTGGCCCAGCGGTGGGGGAAATCCACAGCCAAGCTCATGCATACGGCTTTACCCAGAATGCTCAGCTGCCCAATGTTCAGGTCTCTCTGTGTCTTATCAATGCGGAACCCAGTAGCCGAACCAGAAGGGAGACTGCACCAAGAGCTGAAAGGCAACTCTTTATTTGCACTAGCAGGCAGTTCCAAATCACCAGCTCCAGTTTGGGATTAAACAGACACACTCATTTTAGCAGGAAGCACAAAAGCCTGGGAGCGGGACACTCCATAGCTGGTTACAAGTGTCTCCTCATCCGTCGTCATTAGGCAGGTCTATGTTGGGCAGCCCAGGTCAGGTTCGTACAGAGCATCAAGGTCGGGCTTGAGCCAGTAGAGTCAGGCTCTGTCTTCCATTGGGCCAGTCTGCCCCTAGGGGATAAGTCCTCGGAGCAGCCTAACAAGCAGGCCACATCAGAGTCCAGGAAGCCCAAGTTGTACAGCTGGGTCTGGTCAGCCTGAGCGGGTGAAGGTATCTCCAGTTGGTGGCTGGGCAGTCAGTCAAGGCTGACCAGAGTCTGTATGGCTATGTGGCAGGCTGGGGAAACCTATCTTATCGCATTAGGCCATTAGCTGTTGATTTTTCACTTTTTTTTTGAAACCAGGGATTGAACTCAGGCCCTTGCGCTTGCCTGGGAAGCACTTATTCCGCTGAGCCATCTCCCTGGCCCCTGGCCCCTGGCCCCTAACTAAATTTTCCATAACAAGGACCGGCCCAATAAATAGCTCAGTGGAGGTGCAAGGGCTGGGGGTTCCATCCGGAATTGCTCTGAGATGGCAATTGAGACTGGGCATGGTGGTGTGTGCCTGTAATCTCAGCTCTTGGGAGGCTGTAAACAGGCAGATCACTATGAGCCCAATCTGTGTAATGAGACCCTATAGACCTTTCCCTAATTTTTTTTTTTTTTTTTTTCAGAACTGGGGATTGAACTCAGGCCCTTGTGCTTGCCAGGCAAGCACTTATTCTACTGAGCTAACTCCCTGGCCCCAGATTCCTTAAAATTAAAAAATATATATATAATTAAAATAAATTTTCTATGACATCATGGTCCATGACATGGCCCCTGGCGACCACAGCAGTGCCCTCTCTGCCATGGGGACCTGTCTGCCAGGAGGGGGGAGCAGATCTCACCTACAGAGAATTAGAGGACCTCGGGGATGCAGTAAAGGTGGGCACATCCTGTGGGAACTGACCTGGCCCAGGGCGGGTGGCGGCTGGCAGCATGCGTGTCACTGGGAACCTTCTCTGGGCAAGCACCAAGGCCCGCTGGCACAGTCAGCACCTGCATCTGCACAGCTGCCCGGAGAATTTGCCTACATGCTAGTTTCAGAAGTGCTGCTGTATGACTCCTGCCTCTAAAGTATGATCTCGACACACCTGGAGCTTCTCGTAAAAGGCAAATTCTCAAGCTGCACCTGGATCGATGCACCCGAGCCCCTGGGGTGAAGCAGGAAGTGCCTTCTCAGCAAGTGTGCCGGGCTCCAGCATACTCACTCAAATAGCTGCCTAGATGTGGCCATCCCAGCAGAGAGCTGTAGGCTGCAGGAGGGTGCCTGGGCTCCTGCGGAACAGCAGTGGGGCGGAGCCTGCTGACTGTACAGAACATAGACCTCTTGCATGGCAAAATGACAAGACTCTGGGGCCGGGGAGATGGCTCAGTAGAATAAGTGCTTGCCTGGCAAGCGCAAAGGCCTGAGTTCAATCCCCAGCTCTGCCAAAAAAAAAAGAAAAAGATAAGACTCTGATCACGGGGATTTCCACTTGTGACCCCTAGCTAATGGTCTTCCAAGGGCAGGAGCTACAAGTGCCAACAGCTAGAAGCTGTCACTGGGGGATTCGAAGGAGACAAGGAGAAAAACCATAGCCTTCACAGGGTTGCAGTATCAGAGGTACCTCAGCTCAGAGGCCAAAGAAGGGGAACCCTTTCCCTATAAAAGAACCCTGAAAAGTGAAAAACAATGGCATTCTCAGACACCAGGAATTAGAGCAGTGATCCACTCTGGGGCCACCCTCAGTCCTGGAGAGATGAGAGGACAACTCCACAGATGAAGCAGAGGCAGGAAACCCAGATCTGCTCCTGTTGGAACGTAGAGCAAAAACCTCTTTAGCAGTTCAGTCTTTCTCGCATGCAGAATGTAAGAGAGGGGTGATTCTGTGCCAACAGCTCCCAAAGTCTTAGCTTTTTCCATCAATAACTTTCAAGTTTAAGTCCCGACAGCTTCAGGTAAACTTCGCCATCAGATGTGGATGAGACAGCAGGCAGGGTTGGTCCTAGGTGGGTCCCCTCCAGCGGGGACCCTGCAAAGCCTGACTTGTTTGTGTGCTTCTGAGGCAGGTGTAGGATAAACACGCGCTTCCCAACAGGGGATTCAGAAAGAAGATGGGGTAAACAGTCCCAGTAAGTCCCAACTAAACAGAGCAAACACTCAAGCTCTTACAGCTTGGAAACCATCTTTGACTTGACGTCCCGCCTTCTGGACGCGTGGCCTCCGTGGCCTGGGCCACCCCAGCCTCAGACTTGGCCGGGCACAGCACACACATGTCCTAGGCTGGAATCTCGCGCCTCGGGCTGTGGCAAAGCTGCTCACAAACCTTTCAGATGAGACCACAGGAAGCCTACCAGTCCCGTGAGCTGCCCGTCATCACCAACTGCCCCTTCTGCTAACACCAGAACAGTGGTGACTGCTTTGGCGTTCTGGGGGGAAAAGCCGCAGAGAAAGTCAGAATTAGAGGAGAAAAAAATGGAAATCACTTTGCCTTCTTTCTCCATCTCACTGAGCAATTGTTACTTGTTCCCTCACACTGTAATGGGAAATAAACTGTAATAGAAAAATTTAAAACTACAGCTTGATAATTGGGCCATTAGACTCAGCCAGCCTTGACTACACATCTGCAGTCAGAGATAAAGGACTCAGCTCTATCTACAGCTGCACACTGGCCTGCCACATCCGCTTCAAGGACTGTCAAGCCAGGACAGGCTACCCAGTCAGGGTCATGCTAAATGCTGCCCACTTGCTCAGGACCTCAACGTCCCTCCGATCTCACTGCCTCATGACAAACAATGCCCTCCCTCTGGTTAAACCTGCCCGGGACACACTGCCTGATGGACAGATTGGGTGACAGACACACTGCTTGAAAACATACGACCAAACATGTGGTTATATTATAAAACCTATTATAAACAAACATTATAGACTAACCCTTATCCACTCTGTACTTCCTGCCTATAAAATGTACATAAGTTGCTCTTTTACTCTGAGCCAGCGCTAATGATTTGGACCCCGGTCCCACCCCCCGCCATCCTCAGTAGAAGTCGCCATCCCGCTCATC